TAGTGTTTGCAAACTACTGAGTCGACAAATTGCACAGAGCAGATGCAAGAGGGAGCCAGTGCCTCTGCCTTCACCTGACCCGGGGCCAGTGCCTATTGGGCAGCCACAGTTGTGAGCAGCTTCTTCGGGTGTGTTTTCTGGTGAGGTGGGGAAGATTGTTGGTTTCTCAAGAGGTTTACAGCCTAATTCTACCAAAGGGTGAGCAGCCCAAGCCCAGAATGGGGTGGGTACTCACTGTAAGAAACTCAGGAAAACTGAGCTAGTGATATAATGTGCAAACCAAGAAATAGCTCCTAGCTTCTTGTTCATCGGGCCCTGTAGGACAACCCCCGTAGGATTTACCCAGGTGCATCTACATATCCAACCTCCTTTCCTGCTGCTCTAAACTGTAGCCTTTCTCCCACCTGCATTCCCTGCTCTCCCAGCACCCTCGGTCCCACTTGGCTCACCCCCTGGCCAGAGGGCCTGGTTCTTTCCAGGTACCAGGCTCTCCCCTCCCCCATCCAGCCGAGGATTCTGGCCTCTAGCTCTCTAGGAGCCAACTGAGTCTTCATTCTGCGGGGGGAGAAGGCGTCTGGGATGGCTAGGCACCACATACAATAGTCACATTATGACACCCTTAAAGGGGGTAAAGTCTCTCCTCGTATGTTTTTAAGAAAGAACAGGCTGCCTTTGAGTTTTCCATTTTGTTCCAGATCCGCTTCCACAGAATATCAAAGGAAACTGAAGAGCCTACAAAAAGAGTTAGGAGACAAAATTCAAGAAAACACACATAACAAATTGTGGTGAGTGGGGGGTGATTTAAATAAATAATTCCACTACTTCCACACCCCCCGTGCAACTCAAAGTAGCCATCTCAGGATTCATACATCAAGACATAAAACAAAGGGCGGCTTTGAAGTGGATCACCTCAGTGTGAGCTGCTGCTTGTTACATGATAACCGATCATCCGCCTTCAAATTTATGGCGCTTTAATAGAGTCAGCCCAGTGCCTTAAATGCTGGATGTGTTACAGTACTGAGTTATCTAGGCTAAATAGGAGTGATTTAGAATGGGCGTCTAGGACTTCCCAAAGGGCAGAAGAGGCTCAAGCTGAGAATCGGGAGAATCTGGGCAAATAGTAAAGGAGTGGTTTCCAAAACCTGAAGTAGAAAACCATCAGTAGCAAGCCGTTGCTCGGTTCCAGTGAGTATCAGGAATGACCAGTAAGAGTCCTGGCCATCAGGAAGAGATCCGAGGGGTTTTTGAGGCCCTGGCTTAAGCAAAGTAGGGAGAGGAACTGCGACCAGTCTGAATCTCAGCATTTTAAGAAACCGTGCAAGCAGCGCTCCATTACCACACTCCTCCTACGACTGGCCCTAACTGACGGTTTCCTTCCACTATTTACTGAGAGTACAGAGCTAAACACAGCTGGGTGTTGCGGCCTCCCTCCCAGCCCAAGCCGCCCTCTCCCACGTCCTTCCTGTGATGCGGCCAGCGAGCGAACGCCCGGCAGATCTCCGCGAGTCCATAGAGTAGAGTCGGAAGCCACGGGGCCGCAGATCTTCGGTCCTTAGCGAGGCTTGTGCGCATCTCTTCCCGCCTTGCCACCAAACAGAGCCGCTTCTGGCCAGCGCCGGCCACTTTATATAATCCCTCTGCTCACACGCAGGGTGCGAGTGGGAAAAGTGCGGAGTAGGGAATTCTTTTGCTGCACTGCCTCCTACGCGGAGCCTGCTTCCCACTTCTCAAAAGTGCCGGGCCTTGGGAAGTGTTTTTCTTTTCATTCCTTACTGAAGCGTTTACTGCTGCCGTGGTCGCAGTCATAAATTTTGTTACAAACCACAATGACAGGCGCATTGATATGCACCGTGAGAGCTCCAGCTGCTTAATAACCCCGTCCCCTGGCCGCTGTGAGCGCCTTTTATTTATTCGGTATCATATTAGGTATTGATCCTGGGCAGAATTAAGTGCAGTGAGCAAGTATCAGGGCTTCTCTGCTTCTGAGGCAAAGCAAGCTAGGCGGGCCTGCACCGCTGGGGAGCCCGAGTTGCTAGCTCAGAGAGGATGCTTTCCTTCCTTCCTTCCTTCCTTCCTTCCTTCCTTCCTTCCTTCCTTCCTTCCTTCCTTCCTTCTTCCTTCCTTCCTTCCTCCCTCCCTCCCTCCCTCCCTCTTTTCCTTCTGCCTGGAAACCATTTGCCCCGTCCTCGGGGTCTGCAGCTAGGCCTCCAAGCTGAGTTGGGTAACTTCCAGGGACTTTGGAAAAGGACTAGACAGTGCCATTCCGCTCCCGTTTCCTAAAAGGAGCAGAGGTGCCAGGGGACAGAATGGCTACATCGTTCCATTCCTCTGGCTGTGGGGTGGAAGGAGGAGGAGGAGAGTGGAAAGACGACTGAAGACTTCCCCAAACTACTGCAGTCCGGCACAACTGCCCCTCCCCCACAGAGCTGTCTTCACCCTCCCTCCCCCCTAAGGCATTTGGGCCTTGGAGCTCAAAAGAGCAAAGGTACCAAAGGGTGTGAAAAGAAAGCCTTAATGGGGGGGGGGATCGAAAAGATGAGCCACTGAACAGTTGACCATTGTCCAAATGATTTATGACCCAGTCCTGCTTTTTAGGTTCAAGCAGAGTTCACAAGGAGCAGGGCTTTCTGGAAAGAAATAAGCCTTTTTACCACTTTTGTAACAATAGTCTCAGGTTTTGTTTTGAGAGAGGAGCTTTTTCAGGTACTGTATTGGGGGGCCTACAAAGTGTTTTCCAGGGTGAAAAGCACTGTTGCCTCTCTTGCTTCTAGAGAAATGGGCACTAGGTCATGAACTGGGCCTGGAAATTCCTTAAGACAAAGTAAATAGGCAAGAGGAGATCACTGTGGTTGCTCAGCAAGCGGACCAGCATCTGTACCTTTGAGGTCTGTACATAGAAAATTGTCTAGGACTATGCCACAGGAATAAATATGTTAAATCATCTGTCAACATAGACCTGCTTAGTTTCTCAAGAAACTATTTTAATGCAACTGGTCCACCTTCCAAGGTTAACCTGGACAACATGGAGGTGGAAGGGCAATATTTTGCTTCTACCATTGCCAATGGGATGACAGAAGCAGCAAGTTCTGGTGTTCTGAGAGCCTGATATGACCATGTAGACATCCAGAAGGTTGAGTCTGGAAGCAAGCTCCCAGAAAAGCCCAGAAACTTTACCAAGCCAGTGGATACGTTCTTTGGCCTAGGGACAGACACATACAAATACTAGTCACAGAAGGAGATTTAGCTGTCCATTTGATATTCAGATATTTAGCTGTCAGGGAATGATACTGAAAGTGAATCAAAAGGGAAAATACATTTAGTTTTGTTAGGTAGATATCCTAACTACACATTACATGTACCAACAGAAACAATTCCTACAACAAAACATCTTAGTATTGTAGTAATCCATTGAGAATGGCCTCTCATCAAAATAAATGGCACAGTCACTTATATTCTAAAACAAAACGGGTACTATCAAATAAAAGCTAATTTGAAGAACTTTCTAAATTGGTTAGGCTCTATGGTAAAAAAAAAAAAGTAAAATAAGGAGGGAGAAATGAATACAAAGAGGTTTTGGTTCCTGTGTTCAAATCTGATTGGTCACAAATTACATAATGTGGTTCATCATGGTGACTATGATAGAAGCCAGGGAGAGTTTCTGGAAAGAAACTTTGCCTGAAAGATGAGATCAAGAATTAAGGCCAGAGAGCTGACCTATGAGTTTTCTTTATCTAACAGACAACAGTGATTGAATGATATTAGTTATACTTTAACTCCTCAGGAGCCTTTCAGAGGGGAGGAGGGTGGGAAGAGCACCACCCCCCATGAAGAATCAGTACATACAAAAGGGGAAGAGTTTCCCTGAGTTCCCCCCCCCATTTCTAATTCTGGGTCCATTCATCTTGTCACAAGAGTTTGATTATAGATTGGATAGGAGGTAGGGTGGGATGGAAGATCCAAAGCAGAGGTCAATAAATGTATTTATTTATGTAAAGATCCAAGGGAAAATGGATAAAGTTATACTACCATTTACCATTCACCCATACTACATGCATTTAAAGGTCTAAATCCCTTCACCCATTTCTAGTGACCCTTTTAAAAGTAGTGGAAGGACAAAGTAAAGGTTGTAGAAAAATGTAAATGAAAGAAACATTACATAGCCTCAATATAAGTCCAGAAGTCCTTAAGTCCTCTTCTGGATTTTCACCTCCTAGTTTTCTACATTGTAGATTTCATTGTGATAACCCACAGAACTAACTGGGAAATTCTCACCTTGTCATCAAAATGGACTATCTGGGCCTTCATGAAAGATGCTGTGATTTTTGAAACCAGGTGGGGAAGCTCTGAGAAGCTCTGACTATGCTATAAGCTTTCCTTTTGTCCTTTCAAACATTGGGATTAGCGCTTGGAGGCAGAGCTGGGTGGTAGAGACCCCACATAGCATGCACAAAGCCCTGGGGTTGAGCTCTAGCTCTACCAAGCAAATGAAAATCCTGAAATTATCCAAAGACCAATGACTGTGACCTGCTAGTCCTCCATCCATCCATTCAATATTCATTTATAACACTTAATACATGCAGACCATTACATTGAATGTTAGTAATATCTAGACAAAACACAATCCCTGTCTGTAAAGAGCTTACAGTTTAGGGGGAGCCAGTAAAATATGTGAAGTTGTGTTTTCCTATGTAGGCTCAAAAGCTGTATCTTGGAGAAACAATTCCCTAAGAGAATTTGGGGGTGGGAAGAATCATCTGCTTCCTTAGGCTAAAGTTGAGCCCAGGAGAAGAAAAGGCCTTTTCCTACACAGAGGAGAAATTCTTCTTAACTTTTTCAAGAGTTCATATAAATTGCACTTCATTAAAAAACACAATCCAGAACTTTGCCCATCCCCCCACCATGAGGTGGGTGGGAAGCAGAGAGCCTGGGCTAGTCCTTCTATATTGACTGGTCTTGCCAATGACAGTCTCTCTGGAACCTCTCACTTTTCTTCTTGGCAGGTCACTTGGAGCTTGGGGGTTGGCCCAGCTCTCTCAGGATTCAGCAGACACTGGCTGTGGTGGTGAAGGACACAGTGGTAGTCAATGTTATTTGAGCAGGGTCAGCAGGCCCTGGAGCTTCCTGAGTGCACCATGCAGAAGGCTGCATACTATGAGAACCCAGGACTCTTCGGGGGCTATGGCTACAGCAAAACCACTGACACTTATGGGTACAGTACCCCCCATCAGCCCTACCCACCCCCTGCTGCTGCCAACTCCCTGGACAGTGATTACCCAAGTTCTGCCTGCTCCATCCAGAGCTCTGCACCTCTTCGAGCCCCATCCCACAAGGGAGCTGAACTCAATGGTAGCTGCATGAGGCCTGGCACTGGGAACAGCCAGGGTGGGGGTGGCAACCAGCCTCCTGGTCTGAACTCAGAGCAGCAGCCACCACAACCACCTCCTCCTCAACCACCTACCCTACCCCCATCATCGCCCACCAATCCTGGAGGTGGAGTGTCTGCCAAGAAGACCAAGGGTGGGCCCAATGCTTCTAGCTCTTCAGCCACCATCAGTAAGCAGATCTTCCCCTGGATGAAAGAGTCCCGACAGAACTCGAAGCAGAAGAACAGCTGTGCCACTGCAGGTAGCTCTCTGAGCAGGTCATCCCTGGACCATGTCCCGTTCAGACTGGTCCCAGAAAGCCCCAATTACCTAGGAACCAAGAGACTCAGGGCTATAGAACAACCTTTCAGGCCTTATATTCCAAACTCCTACTCTTGCAGAAATGCCCATCATTTTTAGTGACCTTGATTGGGTCTATCCTCTTACAGGGACAGAGTGCTTAGTTTCATTGCTGGGCAGGTTTCCTCAATTAGTAGATTGTTCTATCAGCTGACATAGTAAGTAGTTGCCTTTCTGGGCTGCTGGTCATAACTCAGCTCTGTTTCACCCAAGAGCCCTTCAAAATTTGAAGGCAGACTGGGAAGGCTACATATACCTATAATCTCAACACCTGAGAGGCTTAGGCTGGAGTATCTTGAGTTCAAAGACTGGGCTACATAGTGAGTTCCAGACCAGCCAGGACTCCATAGAGAAACCCTACCCAAAAGCCAAAACTAAATCCTCCCCCCAAAAAGGAGAAAAGCATCAAACCCAAATAAGTTATAAGCATTATCTCATTTATTTAATTTTCCAAAGAACTCTTTAAAGTAGGTATGTGATAACATCTTCATTAGCCCAAGATTCACAAAACTGTGAAGTGGTGGACTTTAATCCATCAGGGCCAACTTCAGGCCCTATAAGACATAACCATGAGATTCTACTTAGCTTACTCCAGTCCTCTTCTCCCACTGCAGTGAACCCATAACAAGGAAGAGATTGTTCTAGGGAGAAATGTATTGGGAACAAGAGTAGCTGTTGCCTTCTCACCATGGATGGGGAGAGACTAGAGCTGAGGAAGACTACTCTAGGTCCATCCTGGGATTTTGGAAGAACATGGACTAGGAGCTGATGCCTGCTCCTCTCTGCTCATACTGTTTTGTTCCTGAAATTTTCTGGCTTTGTGTTATCTGATGGGGTTTATTTTTCAGAAAGATGAACATGCTTCCAGGTCCAGCGCTAGATTGAAACTTGGGATATGATTTGTTCTCAGGTCTCTGTTCTGCCTGATACTCCCTGGGCTGCTGCTCCTAGGGGAAAGTATCTTCCTGCCTGAAAACTCCTTCTTCTGCCCCTCCCTCCTTAGCTCAGACACAGGCCCTCCCTCCCAGGAGAAATCCATTTGTCTTCCCAGTGAGGGAGTGGACAAGCAGCTGAGGGGTGGCAGGAGGTGAAGCCAGCATAGAGGCGCCTGCATCTAGCATTACTATACTCAACATGCTTTCAGTCTGGCCTTGGGACCTCCTAAAACTTCAGGGCAGTATCTTTTGGAGGGGGAGGGAGTTACTTATTTCCATGCCTTTGGGTGCATCTAGGCTGGAGTGAGGTGCCAAGATCCCTATCCCCATTCTTTGCTCTGTGGAGTGTTTGGCCCAAGAGCCATCCTTTAAGCAAATAAGTTAGACTGAGAAAGAGCTGCCTCTGATCCCCCTCCTCCCCAGCAGCAGAGGTTGGGAGGAGTGCTCAAAGAGGGTCTAGTCCTTCTTTAGCGCACAAGGGTCAGCCTCACCAACTGCTTTTAGCTTCCCAATTAAAGTCCTTCATGGCCTTTGGGTTGAGATGAGAAGAAGGGCTAGGATGGCCGGCTGGAAAGAGAGGGCAGAGTATATTCTACCCCAGAAGGGAGAGGTTTGCAGGTGCGACTGACAGGTAGGCCTGGGGGAGGAGGGTGTGGAATGAGTTCCTCCTTGGAATCACCACCTCTCAAATACCTCTTCCCTGCCCCGGACAAGATTGGAGGCAAGGGAAGGAGAGAAGGAAAATGGAGACAGGGAAGCACCCCCTCTTCATTCTTGAGGTTCCCTATCCCTCGCTCAGCGCCCTCTCTGTCTCCCTCCTTGCCCAGGAGAGAGCTGCGAAGATAAGAGTCCGCCGGGCCCGGCGTCCAAGCGAGTGCGAACGGCATACACGAGTGCGCAGCTGGTAGAGTTGGAAAAGGAATTCCACTTCAACCGCTACTTGTGCCGGCCGCGCCGCGTGGAGATGGCCAACCTGCTGAATCTCACCGAACGCCAGATCAAGATCTGGTTCCAGAACAGGCGCATGAAATACAAGAAGGACCAGAAGGCCAAGGGCATTCTGCATTCTCCCGCAGGCCAGTCTCCAGAGCGCAGCCCGCCTCTCGGAGGCGCCGCGAGCCACGTGGCCTACTCAGGCCAGCTGCCGCCGGTGCCCGGCCTGGCCTACGACGCACCCTCGCCACCCGCTTTCGCCAAATCACAGCCCAACATGTACGGCCTGGCCGCCTACACTGCGCCGCTCAGCAGCTGCCTGCCGCAGCAGAAGCGCTACGCGGCGCCCGAGTTCGAGCCCCACCCCATGGCCAGCAACGGCGGCGGCTTCGCCAGCGCCAACCTGCAGGGCAGCCCGGTGTACGTGGGCGGCAACTTCGTCGACTCCATGGCTCCCGCATCCGGGCCAGTCTTCAACCTGGGTCATCTCTCGCACCCGTCCTCGGCCAGCGTGGACTACAGCTGCGCCGCGCAAATCCCTGGCAACCACCACCACGGACCGTGCGACCCTCATCCCACCTACACAGATCTCTCGGCTCACCACTCGTCTCAGGGACGCCTGCCCGAGGCCCCCAAACTGACACATCTGTAGCGGCCGCCGCTGGCCCGAGGGCGCGGCGCAATTACCTCTTCAGTTTGGGTGGCAGGGGTGTTGGGCGGGGCACTTCGGGGACCCCCTCCCCCCGCTCTGGCCTGGCCGCCGTCTCCACGATCTCTGGCCTCCAGCGGCGGAGGCTTCCCGACCGAGCCTCCCCTCCGGGGCGCGTCCTCCTTCGGGTGACTCGATATAAATCAGCCGCAAGGATCCTCGCCCCCCCCCCCCGTAAACCTGACAGTGCCATAGACTGTGGACCGAGGGGCTCCAATCTGGTAATGGTGTCCCGAAGGTAAGTCCGAGACCCATCCGCGGCGGGTCCTGCCAAGGGATTAGAGCTCGGAGACCCGCGGGTCAGGCCCGCGTTTAGCTTAGTTTCGGAGACCTTAATTTAAATGCTCCTTCCCTTCCCGTAAGGATTGCATTGGACTAAACAATCTGTATTTATTATTTGAAGCGAATCATTTCGTTTCCCTGATTATTTATCCTCGTCTTAATGTATTTATGTGTATACTTGTAGAATTCTCCAACCGAGCCTAGGTGGGCGCTCCCAGGCCTGGCGGGAGGGGGGCCATGTTTCACCACTTTAGTCCCCTTGGCCTGAACTAGTTGAGAGTAGTTTTGAACAGTTGTAACTGTGGCTGGTGTTTGTAGTTTATGACATAAAGAACTGAGACCACAGATTGTCCTTCGTGGGTAGAGTCAGACAGCCGGGTGGCACGGCACGACACTACGTTTGTCGTCCTCAGCATCCGCAGCCCTTGCCACTCGGAAGTTTACTGGTTTCAAATTGTCTGGTACTATCTGAACAAATATTTAGAATAAAAAAATTTCTCAGTTGGAAGTGTATCTGTGTTAATCACGCACATTTGCAAGCAGATCAGTCTGTCTTTTATCCCGCTGGATGGCTCAGAAAAAAAAAAATCTTCTGAAAAACTATTTTATTTATTTGGAATGTAGTGCACAAACTGGCGTGGAAGAATACTTGATTACATTCAAGCTATAAAAACTGGGTGGGGAGAAATCTTTGGACGCAAACCTAGAAACATTCTGGGTGGGATGATTGGAAGGCTTCGCCAAAGCAGCACCTGCCTGGCTGTTTCTAGCACCTCTTTCGACAGGATCGACTGTTAAATTTAGGGAGGCCAGAGCTCATTTTTCGGCATTAAGTAATAAAAACTAAACTTTGGGAAAACCCTGACAATCAAAGAAAGTAAGAGGAACGGGAAAAACTGAGCTATGAAAGCTAAGGTGAAAGGGGAGGGGAGGGGATCATTAGAGACTAGCACCCCAGTTTTTCTCTAGAAAGGGCACTCACAAATTTTTCCTTTGTAATGGTTGGTAATTCATTTCTAAAGAAAACGAATGTTCTCCATAATGTAAAGTAATAAAAGTTTCATTCCTGGAACACAACACGTTTAAACACCTTGTTTACTCCTGTTTCTTTGTACAAAACCGGGCAAAATGTCCTAAAAAACATAATCATTTTTGTAAATATTGCTGTGGCTCTAGCTAGGCTTAGACACTTAAAACCACTTCAATGGGAGGGAGCACTTGGAAACGCCTTCAGATAAGGTTCAATTCTTTTGTATTTAAGCAAGTCGGCCCGCATCTCTATTTGGTTTGGCAAATAATGCAACTTCTACCACACCAACCCCCCCCCCCCCCCGTGGCACGAGGTGAAATCCCTATTGTGTGGAAGTAACTTCTACTCTTCTGGTGGAACAACAATCGTTTCTATATGGATGTCTGTGTTTCTCACAGTAATGATGGCTCAAAATAATATTTAGTTTCTTTGTTCCTTTGTGCTGTTTTAAAAATGGCATGTTAGATTGGGGTGGGAGGGGATGTCCTTTTGCTAAATTTCACTCTATCTGAGCAGGTTTAAAGTATATATGTTGTAGAATTGTTAACAGAATAAATGACTTCAATGGAAGGCGTTATTTTACCCACTCTCCAGGCTTTACATCGTTTCTATGAAATTTGCATCCATAGGCAGAATTTATAATTGTCTTGTAAGAAATTATTTTTTAAGCTATTAGGGAAATCAAAGAAGAGCTCGCTGCCTTGTAGGGATTACAACCACCTTTCTTAACTGGCTAAATATTAAATAGATGAATTGTCAGGCTGTTTAGATTCAGCCCGGTTTCCCTCATCTCCTCTTCCTACCATAAATAATAATAAAAATACATAATGCATCATGGCTCCAGGCGTTTTCCAGCGCGGTCTGTTACCGCAGGAGTATCTGCTGAGTCTGCGGGTGTCTGCCAAACCCCAAGTGTCATCTGTGGCTTAGGGTTTCATGGATTAGACTTTAAAGGTGTCTGGCCCGGCTGACATCAGCTTCCTCTCACACACAGGCTCTAAGCAAGTTCGGGGTGGGAGCTCCCTTAGGCGGTGCAGCCACTCTGAGGCCCAGTGTGTGTGTAGGGGGCCGGGGGGGGGTCGTTGCCACCAAATCTGCGGCCTTCTTCCACCTCTGGAAGTTCTCGGGACTTCAGAGAATGGCTTGGTGCTTCCTGCTACTGTAGAGAGTCACGTGACGGGCACACTCGCTCCCCGAAGGTTGGGGGCGGTGGCGAGTTCTGCGAGGGCGCGCTCCCTCGCGGCCGCCCGCCCGCCCGGGTGAGCGCTGGGCCCGCGGCACAACCATTTAAAACTTAATAAATTATAAACAAGCCGCCTTGGCCTCCGCCATAAATTCCGCTCCTCTTGAGCCTGCAATTAGTATTAGGAAGCACCCAAGTCTAAACACAACCAAATGCCCTCGGAAGGGCCCGAGGTTGCAAGCCTCTATTTATTTCCCAGTGCCACCCCCCCTGCGCCCGAGGTTCGCACACACAGTCGCCTCCTCCCCCGCCACCGCCCGCAGTACACGCGGCTGGGTTCCTGCTCGGCCGGGGAAGGTCACAATAGCTGCTCTATCCGCGGAGGCGCCTGCCTCCTCCCTCCCGGGTCCTGGAGAAGCAGAGAAAGGAGAGTGGGGGAGGGGAACCGGGCGACGGCAGGAGCCCCGGCCTGACAAGATAGGGGGGTGTCCGCAGGAGTACAGGGAAAGGAAACCTCCACCCCAGCTTGTGGCTCTCTCCAGGGACCAAGTGCTCCGGGACAAAGAGGTTGCTCAAGCCGTCGCCCCTGGGTTGAGGGTGCCCTGAGCAGCCAGGAGCCCGAGCGCCATTGTGAGAGCAGCTTCCTCTTGGATCTGTCCCAGAGAAGGCCTTCGGAACAGAGGGGCGACCACGCCTGGAGAGGGGGAACCGCTGGGCCTCGTTTGAGGGGCGTTGGTTTGGGGAGATCTGCCCACTTTGCTTAAGGATAGGGAAGGCTCTTTAGTTCAGGCCTTGGCTAGCCCTGTTTTTTCTATAGCCTTGAGGGAGGTGGGGGTCAGGAAGGTTGTGGCTCTCCATGTATTTGAAGAACTTTAGATCTGAAGAGAAGAGATCGGGTCTTGAGCTGAGGCTCATGGATGACAGTTGGTTAGGTGGGCATCCCTGGTGGTTCTGATCAAGCAATCAAATGTGAATTAAGGCAGATGGCCGCCACAAAATGGAGGTGGGAGCGGAAGGAGGGGTTTAGGCAGAGGGAGCACTTTACTTGCAACCAGGGAAACCTCCTGATCTGTTCTGGAATAGAGTGCCCAGACTCAACTGAGCTAGCCAGGGGGGTGGGGGTGGGAAGGTGTCCAGGAAAGCCCTGGACAGTAGCCCTGGCCACTTGGAAGGAGGTAAGGGTGATTTAATACATATTCCTCCTTCTGGCTTTCAGACCTCAGCCTCATCCAGGGACCTGACAGAGAAAAATCCGCCTCTGATGGAATCATTAAGTTAACTATCCATTTGTACCATTTCTTTGTACAGGCTTTCAAATGGGAGAGAGGAAGAGAATGGAGGGAGTACTTCCCCTTGGTGCAGCCCCAAGCCTAAGTCCCTAACAGACACACATTAGCCAAATTGGTTTCTCAGGCCCCAGAGGCTGCTAACCTTGCTGAACAAGATTTTTCAAATTTCTATCTGTAAGAAGTATTAAAAGATAGTGATTACCTATACTACTTGTCCTTCCTCCCTCCCTCTGTACCACCCCACGGTGGCTCTTGAGTGAAGCAATCTTCTCAGCCAACAGGTTTAGAAGCCCAGGCTCTCCATCTGTTGAGGTTTTTCTTTGAGGAGGATGCAGAGGATGTGAGTGGGTGTATGTTTGAATAACAAAGAGGTAACCCTTCCTTCTAATAACAAGTGCTCCTCTAGTTTGAGGAGGGGGGGGCACAAATTTGTTTACACCTTCAGTATTCAAGGGTTAGACACAGGCCTGTTTTGACTTTATCCTGAGAACTGGATGAAACTTCCTTCTGAACTCAAGAAGTGGTTAATCCCAGCTAACAGGTCTAGGAAGGTCCTCTTCATCTGGGAGTTCTTGGCATAACTTTGATCCTTCTTTCAGAAACTGGAAGAAAATAGGAAGAACAGTTTATGAGTAGGAAGAGAGGCAGATGGCCCAGAGTCACAGGTTTAGAGTCTCATTACTTCTGGGCACTGCAGATTCCCAGGCAGGATATATTTAGGACCTGGGTGAACAGGCCTGTTCTTGGACACTGAGACTTGTAGGGAGTGGAGATTGGGTTGCCCCAGACAAGCCTTACCTAAACCTGGCTCACCTAGCTTTCTCTCTCAGAAGGCCTAGGAGAGAAAAAGACTGCATAGGTGAATCCTCCCTCCTTACTGCAGTGTAGTGCTGAAGAGGATTGTGACTGGAGAGGACCAGCACTTCCAGCTCATGGTTAGAACTCATTCCCTTGTTTTCTTCTCCACTACAAATGCTCTTACCATTGGGGTCCAAGGCCAGGGTCAAATGGATTTATATATACCTGGCCTAAAGCCCTTTTTCAACATTTTCCTCAGGTCTCACATCCTCCTTGTCAAGTTGGAAAGTTCAAAGACAATCCAAACTGAACAGACCGCCACACAGGAAAGCAGACTTAAGGAAAAAGGACGCTCCATCCTGGGCAGTAGCAGAGGCAGGTGAAGGCTCCAGATCTGAGGCAGAAACTACTTCACCTGTCTTCTGGTTCTAAGTCTTGTGATCATTACTTTTTTCAATCTGGGAGTTAAACCCAAGGTAAATATGGTAAATGATAAATATGCACTACCACTGAGCTACCCCCCAAGCTACTGGCAAAATTCCTTGACTGGTTCCTTTCATTTCTGAGTAAGTTCTGGAAAAAATACCAAAGTGGAGTTTAGCATTAGAAAGGGCCAGAGGAAGAGGAGGAGATCCCAGTTTGAATGAGGTTTTTGAGAGCTTTGGTTCAGATACAGTGGATTGACAGGAGGAGCGGGGCTTAAAGCAGTCCAGCACGGCCTGTTGGGTAGGGCCCTTTCTGAAAGAGGTGACCGGGGAGGAGCTGAGGTTTCCATTGTTCATGCCCTTGGTCTGCAAATACCGTAGCCCTCACGACCTCTTCCTCCCGGCCGTGGGGAAAGTGCGTCGCCTGAGAGCAGCTCTGGGGAGTTGGCTCCAGGATCCCTCACTGCTGTGTGCTACCCCTTGGGGCAGGGACGACGCCATCCCCGCGGCTATCAAGGAACACACAAAGGAAGCCCGGACTCGCCCGGCTCTAGGATCCCTGTGCTCTGAGGCTGCTGTGTTCCTGAGTCCGAGCGCCCAGGTCGCCCGCGGGAACAATAGCAGACGCCTGCCCGGAGGACCGGGCGCTCCCGCGAGCGTGCCGCACAAAGCCCGCTCTGTCCACGCCGCCACGTGACGCGTGCTCCGCCCGGCCGCGGCCGGTGCTCAGCATCCACCGGGAACTCTCCCCGGAAGACAAACGGTGAGTTAATCACCC